GCTGGTGTTGTATGTGCCAGTAAGTTTATTGTATATCCTAAAATTTAACTTTATTTAAAAAAAATTTTTCCAAGGTGGCGGTACTTGCTCTAATGGAGCCATTCGTAAAATTAGAAATAGCAACGGGACACCACACCGTGGATATGGTCGTGTTGAAGTGTGCAGTGGAGGACAGTGGGGGACAGTCTGCGATGATTATTGGGGCTGGAGTGATGCTAGAGTGGCCTGTGCTTCACTAGGATATAGTAGAGATAGTAAGTAGATCTAGTGTTGCTATTGTTGTTACTATTACTATTATTATTATTATTATTATTATTATTATTATTATTATTATTATTATTATTATTATTATTATTACTGCAGGAGTTTCAAGTTATTGCTGTGCCTCTCTTGGTCAAGGATATGGTAGTATTTTTCTTGACAACTTGCATTGTTCTGGAAACGAAGCCAGTCTCTTTTCATGCCCTCACAACGGAGTTAGTAATCACAACTGTGGTCACAATGAAGATGCTGGTGTCCAGTGCTACGGTAAGTTTTATAATAATTGACATAGTAAACTATGCAAAGCAAATATAGGAATCACTACACCAAGTTCCTGCACTAATGGTGACCTGAAGTTATGGCGTCCAAGTGACGGTCCAGAATATTATGGAATAGCTTTGTACTGTAAGAACAACGTTTGGGTTGGAGTCTGTGATGATAGCTGGAAGTGTGATACTGCCCGACTCATTTGCCAACAGTTAGGATTTGCTGGATCACTTGGTAAATACTATGATCATTATAAATGACTTTAAATATTTATCATTTTATAGGTATAAGAGGAGAGGGTTACTGGGGCTATTTTTATTATCAAGGAGTTGGAGTGGATCATTATGCCTGGTCCTGCAACTCTGGACACAAGTCTCTATCACAGTGCAGCTATTATTATCATTCTAGCTGTTACTCCTATCATGATCAGCTGGGTATCATTTGCTATCCTAATGTACAAGGTAAGCTTACATTAATATTCCTTCTTTATGCTTCCTCCATTATAGGGAGTCAGTGTACCAATGGTGATGTTCAATTGCAAGATGGCACAAACTCAACTAATGGCCGTGCTATGTACTGCTTTGAAGGATACTGGACTCCTCTATGCTCAATTTCTGCTTCCACTGCATCAGCAATATGCCAAACTCTTGGATTCACTTCACCTTGTGAGATTAAATAAACAATAATTTATTACTGATTACTTTCATCAGATGCCATTGTCTATACTGATGAGAGGTTTGGTACAAGTGAGAGGAGAAGTGGATTGAGTTATGTCAACTGTCCAGCTGGAGCTACCAACATTAGCTCTCAGTGCACTCCAGTCTACAAGACATGGAGTAATGGCTGCTACATCAGTTATGGAAAGTGCTACAGGGAGGCTGGTATACAGTGCTTCAGTAAGATAACAATATATTGCAAATAATATATACTGTGTATTTTACTCATTATTTATACTTGTATAGATGCATCACAGGACTGTATTGATGGCAGTGTTAGGTTAGTCAATGGTGTACTTGAGCAGGAAGGCAGGGTTGAAGTGTGTAGCTATGGACTGTGGGGGACAGTCTGTCAAGATGACTGGAATGCTATTGATGCCTACATAGTCTGCAAACAACTTGGATACACTGGAACAGGTAAACCTACTAATAATGATGATGTATGTATGTGCTTTCTTTGTTTCCTCTAGGACCTCTCTCATATTATAACTCAAAGTTTGGTGTTGCCACTCATCTCCCTACAGTATACAATAATGTGAAGTGTGTTGGTTGGGAAAAATCCATTACTGAGTGCACAAAGAATGTATATCCAGCAGGATCCTGCTCTCAATCCCAGACTGCCAGTGTTGTATGCAAAGAAGGTATCCCTTTATTAATATTATTTTATATATTTGTTTATTATTATTATTAATTTTAACAAGGTTGCAGGGATGGTGAAGTCAGGCTTCTTGGAGGTGGTTTTGAGAATGAAGGAACAGTCCAGATTTGCTATGGGGGTCTCTGGGGTCTTGTGTCTGATAATCAATGGGACGTGAATGATGCCAATGTTGTATGCTATCAGCTTGGGTTTGGAGGAGGAAGTAGGTTACATAATGTGAAATTATTATCATCATTGTTATTATTATTGTTATATTAATATTTTAGATGCATTGGCAATTCTTAATAATCAATATGGCAAACCCAACATGACCATTCACATCAGAAACGTGGCATGTCTTGGAAATGAAACTTTCCTTGACAACTGCACTAAGGTAAAGAAC